TCGGCCTCCTAGGACGAGGCAGAAGCACTGGGTACAGACACCTGGCCCCAGATCCTTCTGTTGCAGGAGATACTGGGCATTCTTTGAAAGCTAGAGTGGAGCATCTTGACCTTTGGTCTAGTGAGAATGAGAGAGCATTCCCTTCCTTTGTGTCTAGACAAGAGCTAGGTGAACTCTAGATGCAAGGAGACACCTGGCTCCTTCCTGACTTGAGGGTGGGCTCCAAAGGGCCTCATGCTGCCATCCTGAGGAGCAGAGTGGGGGGTTCCAGAAGGGACGGGGGGGGGGGCTGTTCTTAGAAAAACAGGGCAGGGTCCTGCTTTCTAGATATAAGACCACAAGGCCTTGGAGAGTTCCTCATCCTGTGTCTTACCCCACTCTCAGGGCTCTGGCTTCCCAGAGAGCTGATCTCTTTGCTTTTGGGGGTGGGACTCTGGCCAGAGGTCAGGAGGGCAGGTGACTACAGCTGACATTCTTTCCATTGCCATTCCTGGGCTGGGGCTGCGTTCCAACAGGAGGTGCCAGAAATACAGGTGAGTGCATTGAGCTTCTGAGGCCTGATGCCTTGATTGCAATGGCTAGATTATGCCAGGATGTAGCTGGGGCCCTATTCTGCAGGCAGGGGAAGGCAACAGTTCTGCCAGGGTCATGTGGGAAATACATGAGGTGGGGTGGAAGGTTGGAGTGAAAAAGGAACCTGGAGGGTTAAAAAGGCCTCTTCGTGATCGCTTTTCATTCTAGTAGCAATAAGAGTAGGAAAGGTGACTGGGGGTGGGGGGCACTGGAGTCTCCTCCAGCTGAGTATGGCTCCTGCCAGAAACCTAGACAGCAGATAAAATCATGGAGGGTGGAGGGGAGAGTCCTTGAGACCATATTGGGGGACCTGGAAACTGATAAGATCCCTGAATAATGTCTCTTTTTTTTTTTTTTTTTAAAGGATTTTTATCTATTCATTTTTAGAGAGAGGGGAAGGGAGGGAGAAAGAGAGGGAGAGAAACATCAGTGTGTGGTTGCCTCTTCTGCACCCCATACTGGGGACCTGGCCCTCTACCCAGGCATGTGCCCTGACCAGGAATCGAACTGGCGACCCTTTGGTTCACAGACCCAGCACTCAACCCACCGAGCCACACCAGCTGGGGCTGAAGTCTTTCTGTTCTCTCCTAGCTCCCATGCTTGCCCAGGGTTCTGGGTAGAGGGGTGAGGCACAAGGTCTCAGCATCCACAAGTGCCTGATGCCATGCTCACCCCAGCCCCTCATAGGGCAAGGATGGGGCAGATGTGGCCACTCCTTCCTCGCAGTGGCCGTGGCCACAACAGTGGCATCAGCCTTGCTTGGGAACCTGGTGGCAGCATGCCCAGTACTACATACCTACCTAGCCACGGGCAGTGTGGTGGATTGTGGGGGGCTCCATCTGCTCAGACTATCCCCCAGGCTTCCGGACAAGAGTCTGGCTCTTGGAGTTGAGCCACAATAACCTCAGCCGCCTGTCAGGTAGCTCCTTCCAGGCTGTGGGGTCTGCGGGTGCAGCTGCTTTCTCACAATGTCCTACAGGATCTGGCTGGTGGAGCGCTGGGTGGGGAGGGGGTGTGGGTTTCCTGTAGTGGCTGGACAAACAGATGGCCTGCCTGCCCACCCCCAGACTTCTCAGCCACCCTGGGCTCTCTGCTCTGCCTAGACCTCTCACAGCCTGCTTGCCACTCTGGACCCCTGCAGCACGTGGGGCCTGGAAAACCTGGAACAGCTTGACGTGAGCCACAACCAGCTGGCTGAGCTGGGCACAGCTGGGTTTGGGGGCCTCTTCTGCTTGCACTGGCTCTCACTGGCTGGGAACCAGCTGCAGCAAGTTGGCAGTGAGGACCTGGCCACCATGCCAAGCCTGGCAAGCTGGAATCCAAGGCCTTTGCACGGGCCTCTTCTCTCTCGTAGGCAACAGGCTGCGGTACCCTTAAGTTCAAGGTGATGGTGGGTATCCAGGCAGTGGGCATGGCGCTGTTGCTGGCAATAACCTGCAGGTATGCGACTGTGACCAGCAGACCTTTGGGAAGCTGGACCATCTGCCATATTTGCTTATGCTGAACCTGGGAGGCTGGTGGGGGCAGTGCTGAGCAGTGTGGAGGCCAGGCTTTGGCCAAGACAGCTACTGTGCTGGGTATCATGGGCATCATGCTTGTCTCTTGTGATTGGCTGTGATCATGGCCGAGTAGAAGTATAGTTGGGGTCCCCAGAGGAGCTGGGGAGCAGGGGCTGTTGGAGAGGGAAGTTGATGCAGCTGGAATGGGGAAAGCAGATGGAGCGGTCGGAGAGGAAAACGGATGTTCCTCATAAGTCTTAAGGGCTCAGTTGTCTGCCCATGCAGGTGTGGGAGGAATGGTGGTGGTGGGAGGGACAAATGGCTGCATTCATCTCTCAGGTGCTTGCAGAGTCTTAACTTGAGTGTTGGAAGGTTAATTTGTGTTATAGGATGGTGGGTGGGGTGTAGGAAGATAGTTTGGAGCAGCTTTGCTGTGGCAATCCAAGAATGCCCATAAATTTTACCCATTTTTAAATTCAGCCCTGGCTGGTGTGGCTCAGTGGATTGACCACTGGCCTATGAACCAAAGGGTCGCAGGTTCAATCCCCAGTCAGGGCACATGCCTGGGTTGTGGGCCAGGTCGCCAGTAGGGGGCATGCAAGAAGCAACCACACATTGATGTTTCCCTTTCTCCTCCCTCCCTCTCTGTCTAAAAGTAAATGAATATTTACTTTAAAAAATAAAAAATAAAATTAAAGGATGTAAAAAAATAAATTCAACAAATACTAAATACCTACAATGAATAAGACATAGTGGCAACACCTTTTGTTCATTTTATCCAGCACATAGTTCCTGACCACATCATATATGCTAGGCCCTGAGGATACAGTAGTAAACAGAAACCAGACACTGTCCTTGGCCTAGAGCTCACAATCTGGTGTTAATCTACATATTAATAGAAGAATGACAGATTTATAAATTTGCCAATGCAATTAGTGATTCGAAGGAAAGGTACCTGACAATTATGAAAACAATAGGGGAGCTGAGGTACATTTACACAATGGAATACTATGCAGCAGAAAGAACTCCTATCCTTTGTGGCAGCATGGATGGAACTGGAGAGTATTACGCAAAGTGAAAGACAAACACAGTATGATCTCACCTATAAGTGGTACCTAGTGAACAAAATAAATGAACGCACAAAATAGCACCAGAGGCATGGAAACAAGGAACTGACAGGGACCAGAGGGAAGGGGGGAGGGCGATAAGAGAGGAAAGGAAGGGCCTAGTTAGAGAACAAATATGCATGACCCATGGACATGGACAACAGGGTGGGGACTGACGGCGGGGGGAGGGGAGAGCAACGGGGAAAATTCAGATAACTGTACTAGAACCACAATAAAAATATATACATATAGGAGAGCTGAGCACAAATGAGGAGGCCAAAGGACAAGTGAGGGGGACCGATTGGAAACCTGCTGCAGTTAAACCCACAAAAGATGGCAGTTGGGGCTAGAGTGGGAGTATGGCAGCTGAAGAAAATGGACTGAGTAGAGATGTCCCACATGTCCACACCAGAGCTCTTAGGGGATGTAGAAAAGGCAGACCAAGACCGAGCTTTTCAACAGGTGACCCTTAGGAAAACCCCTTACTATGAAATTAAAGAGAAGCAGAGGATTTCCTCTCGCTTGAGTGTGTACGAACCTACTATGCGCTAGAACCAACGATGTCACATTTAAACCTCAAAACAACCCTGAGGTAAATGTCACTTCCATTTCACAGATGAATCTTGGAAAAAGTGTAGGCAATATGCTCAAAGTAACAGGGTTGGAGCCCGGGTCTAGCTGCGTTCAAACACTAACTTGCTTCATCTTATGGCTCAGGGCTTCTCATGTCCTGAACCCACTGTTCCTTCCTCTAGTTTTCAATTTTGCAGCTACATGGATGGGTCCTTAAGACTCCATGGGCAGAGGGAAAGGCTGAACTTCGCTGGTAGAACACCTCCTTGGGGCCAGAACTAGAGAACGAGCCTTGTTTCCCGACGGAAGGGAAAAAAGCCAACTCCCCGAGACCGGAAGTTGCGTGTCGCAACCCCGCTCCGGCCTCCCTGCCCGGGTTGAGGCCGCAGCGGACTGCCCTTCCCCAAAATGGCGTCAAAGGTGGGTTCGCGGCGGTGGTTACTGCAGCTGCTTATGCAGCTGGGCTCGGTGTTACTCACACGCTGCCCCTTCTGGGGCTGTTTCAGCCAGCTCATGCTATACGCCGAGAGGGCCGAGGCGCGCCGGTAAGCGGGCCCCTGAGGTGGGAGGCGGTACGGCGCGTCCCAGGAACGGGGGTGCGGTGAGGTGGGGGAAGGCGTGGGGGCCAAGAAGTTGGGACCCTCGGGCTGGGAGGAATTGGGATCTCAGAGTTGTTAGGGTGTCTGGCCCGGAGCAAGGCGGGCATCGAGCATAGTGCCGGGGTACCTGGCCATGAGAAGGGGTTCCGGTTTGGGGGAGCAGTGGAGCTGGCGGGAATTCAGGGGGTCTCAAGGCTTTTCTTTCCACTTCATTCTGCCCTCGTTGCGTACCCCCTTCCGGTTTGCAGGAAGCCCGACATCCCAGTGCCTTACCTGTACTTCGACATGGGGGCGGCCGTGCTGTGCGCTAGCTTCATGTCCTTCGGAGTGAAGCGGCGCTGGTTCGCCCTGGGGGCCGCACTCCAGCTAGCCATTAGCACCTACGCTGCCTACATCGGGGGCTACGTACACTATGGGGACTGGCTGAAGGTGAGCGCCTCGGCCCTCGGCAGGACCTGTCTAGGGTGATGGGGAGCCCAAGGCGTGTGGAGATTATTACAGACTGCAAGAATGGAAGGACCTTAGAGACCACACAAGTCTTCCTTTCCGACTGTGGAAACTGAGGTCCACAGATGGGAAACAGAATTACCCAAACTCAGGCCACAGCATTACAGGTGGGACCAGCACCCGGATCACCTGGTTTTCAGAACCCTTTAAACCATTAGTTTACTAATGTCAGACTCATAGGGCAAAATGAACCTTGGAGAGTACCTGGTCCAGCGATCTGATTTTATGAAATTTAAGTAATCCTAGTGCAGCATTTAAGCTTGTATATGAGAGAACCTGTGCCAGGCACTGTGGACTTGGAGATGGGCCTGGACAAAAGGCACTACCCTCAAGGAATGGGCTGTCTGTCCAGTAGGGGTGGCAGATGTGTGAGCAGCTGCAGGACAGTGAGATCAATGGGTTTTTTAGGGAACAGACTATATTATATAGCAGAAAGAACATCGGATTCTAGTCTGCAGGTCTGGGGGTGGGAAGGAGACAGTGCTTGGCATCTGGGTTCTGCCACTTTCTGTAGGATCTTGGACAATTTTATTAACCCCTCTGGGCCACTTCTGATAAAAAGAATTATCTGTTTCTGCTGTACCTGCCCACCACACCTGGAAAAGGTAAGACGGTTCATCAGATGGAAGGGGATGTGTAGAGAGGACAGTTCTGTGTTCTGGGCAGTCAGGAGATAAATGGCAGTTGCAGTTCCTGACTGGGGTCCCCCTTGTCTTGGCCCAGGTCCGTATGTACTCGCGCACAGTTGCCATCATCGGCGGCTTTCTTGTGCTGGCCAGCGGCGCTGGGGAGCTCTATCGTCGGAAACCCCGCAGCCGTTCCCTCCAGTCCACTGGCCAGGTCTTCCTGGGCATCTACCTCATCTGCGTGGTAGGTTGGGGGACTGTTGACTAGAGGTGCTTGACTGGGAATAAAATGTGAGCGCACGCTTGGCAGAACCCAGGGAGGTGGGCAGAAGGAGGCCTTGCATTGGTCCTGAGCCCTGACTTTGGGAGTTGCCCCTGCCAGCACTGGGCCTCACAGGCCCTGCAAGTGCCTGAGACCTGGACAGTATTCTTTCCATATTATTTCTGCCAGGGGGAGAAAAGTTTGGATTGGCCATTCAGTCCCAAGCCTGAGAGCCAGGAGAGCAAGATGGATTGTTTTTCTCAAGGCTCCAGCTCCCAGAGGACTGGGAGAGGAGACAAAGGAGAGGTTTGGTGGGGTTCAGGCCCCAGCTGAGACTCCATCAATTAGAGCTGATGGCGGCTGCCTAGGGTAGCCAATTATGGTCCTCCCTGGTGCTCTTAGGGGAGGCCAGCGTGGATGGAGACGTGAACAGGCCCCAGGCTGCTTGGCCTCATCTTAGGTACTGGGCACCATATTGCATGCATAGCTCTGGATTGGGAGGCGAGAGCCTCAGTCTGACTGTGGAGACACACCTCCTATGTTCTGAGCTCCGAGGGTCAGGAGAGACATAGGCCCTATTTTCACAAAGCTCCCCAGTCTGAGGGGGATATGCAGGCCTTACTTTCAGAGAACCCCGAGTCTGAGAGGAGAGTCAGAAGCCCACCTTGCAGTGGCTGACTTACAGGTGCCATCTCAGGTGGGCTTCCGACAGGCTGAGAACAGAGTAGGACAGTCTTACAAGATGGTGTGTTCCTAGGCCTACTCGCTGCAGTACAGCAAGGAGGACCGGCTGGCGTATCTGAACCACCTCCCAGGAGGGGAGCTCATGATCCAGCTGTTCTTCGTGCTGTATGGCATCCTGGCCCTGGCCTTCCTGTCTGGCTACTACGTGACCTTGGCGGCCCAGATCCTGGCTATACTGCTGCCCCCAGTCATGCTGCTCATCGATGGCAATGTTGCCTACTGGCACAACACGCGGCGCGTTGAGTTCTGGAACCAGATGAAGCTCCTTGGAGAGAATGTGGGCATCTTTGGAGCAGCTGTCATCCTGGCCACTGATGGCTGAGTTGCACAGGGAGAGGCTGACATAGGTGCAGGGAGCCACTGAAGGCCACCCTACCTTCCTTCTTGCTGGCCCAGTTATGTTTATTTATGCTTTTTGGTTGGTTGGTTTGATCCTTTCCTCTGTGTATGTGTGTGTGTGTTGGTAATAGGCAGATCTGTTCCCCAGTTCCTGGGCTCAACCCAGGGTGGGGGAGCCCTGACGATGATGCCTACAGGTTTCTTTTTTTCTTTTCCTGTTTGTTAGGAGGAGAGCTGAGGCCAGCTGCTCCCCTGGGTCTCATGTCTCAGAGAAGAGAGTAAGGCAGGGCTAGGGTGGGGGTACGGAGAGTGGGAGGCAGAGGAAGGAAGACGAACAGTCAGAAGTGAGCAAGAGTAAAAAATGCCTTTTGAACCTGGCAGATGAAACCAGGCTTTGCAGTGCTCTTTGGAGACCAAGAGTGAGCATGCGTGTTGACACGTGGATCAGGCCCAGGAGGAGCAGAGACTGGGCCTCACAGAAGTCACATGGGTTCTCAGGATGGGCCAGGGGCAGAAATGGTACTAGCTGTCACCCACCTTGAGAACAGGGCAGGCCCCAGACGACTCAGGTGCGAGGGGTGGGGCAGGCGGCGGTCAGCGTCCCGCCTTCTGCCTTCTGTTCCCAGTTCCGTGGTCGGCCTGGTGGGAGTGAGTGCCCTCCCAAATACCAGACCACACAGTCTTCCAAAAATAAACACTTTATACAGACATTTGGCTTTGCTTCTCTGTTCTCACAGGGCACTTTGCCATTGGCTGGGATTGATCTTGGTTTTCTAGAAGGGCCATATCCGGTTAAACCCCACCTTGGTCCTCCTGTGATCTTTCCCCTATTCTGAGGGTTCCCACAGTCCCCTGGCTCTTTCCAAGGATCTCCTATTCCTCCCTGTAGTATATTCTTTTGACCTGTCACTTCAATCCCCCTTGTAGCTTATTTTCCCTCCCCATTTGATTTCAGTTTAATGAAATCCTTGGTGAGGGCAAGTAGAGGGAGAGAACTAATATTGAGTGTCCAAGGATTTTACATTTTACAGATGAGAAAATGGAGACCCAGAGAAGGTAAGCAGCTTGCCTCAAACCACAGGGCAAACCCAGCCAGAGAGCTGGGTTCCAGGTCAGGTCTGTCCGTGCCCATGCCTGGATGTGTACTGACCACCACCCCTCTCCTGAGGGAGCACAGGGGCTGCTCTCGGGGTTGGGTTCCCTCACCAGCCCCTGCTGTGCCCTGGTGGCCTCTTAATTGAACTCTCCCTGCCTGTCTGGCACTTCCTGGCAGAAAGTAGCCCCAGCAACCAGTATGGTGCCTGGCACATCATGGGGGTCAAAAATAGTCAATGAAACCAGCTTTGGGCTGCTGCCTTTCGGCTTCCACAAAGATGGAGACCCAACCTCTAGGGGCCCAAGGGGAAAAGACCCAAGTCTGGGCTTGGTTCTGAGCCCTGCCTGAGAGGGAGCTGGGGCTGCTGCTATTGGCCTGGTCTGTGGAATGGAGGGTTTCCCAGCTTAGGAGTAGGGGACGCCCTCTGGGGGCTGCGTGGAGCGAAGTGGTTGCAGCGTTCATCCGTCAGCTGCTCTGTGCTCTCTAGGAGGGCCCCGTTCTCCAGCCCTCAAGATCTCACTCCCAGAGGGCCACTGCTCATTTCCTTCCAAGCGTGAGCTAACTCTCAGTCAAGAATTTGCATTTTAATCAAAGCCTCCTGCAAAGTTGCAAGACCCAAAGGAATTAAAATGAGTGGTGGAATATCAGGCAGATTGGGGTGATATTTGGGTCAAGCGAGCCTCAAAACACAGCACAGAGGCCACAGAAACTGACCTGTTCTTAAAGTTAGTCCTGAGTAGAATACTTGAAGGCAAGTCCTCCCCTGCCCCTCCCCACCAAGTCCCTCGACTGAAAGTTGAAGGCCATTTTGTTGTGGCTTTGGAGCAAGTAGGGGTCTTGGGTGGACTCTTCTCCTTCCTGTGCTTGCCCCACTTTGCCCTCCGCCTCCGGGCAGAGTAGGGGCTGCTTCTTCCTCTGCAGGACACTCGGCCAACAAACCAGGTCCAGCCTGTGGCTGCCTGGAGTTACCTCCAGCAGACATGGCTTTCAGTCCACCCTGGCTGTCCCAGGGCCTGCAGGGCTGGTGGTGAGGGTCAGCTGCCTGGGTCAGAAGCCGGCTTGCAAAAGGAGTCTGGCAGCCCCTTTGCATGGTTGACCAGCTCATAGGAGTCTCGGATATCAGCCAGGCCAAACCAGAAGAAGATCCACTGCTTGTTGGAAAAGCTGCCATCACAGTGCTTGAAGTACCTGGTGGTGGTGGGAGCTTTCAGTGCAAGGCCAGTGCTCATTTCTCACTGGTTTGCTTATTGTGGTCCTCCTGCTTGCTAGACACTCTGCTAGGACCTGCTGTCTGTTACTGGATTTTATCCTCATGGCAGCAGCTAAGAGCTCGGGGGTGGGACGCTTTGACAAAGCAGCAGCTAAGAAGGCTCAGAGAAGTTCGGTAGCTTGCCAGAGCCACATGGCTGTGGTAAGAAGGAGGACACCCCTGGCGCTCTATACACTGCCTTGGCTTTGCAGCCGGGGAAGGGGTCCTTGTTCAACTCTCGGTGCCCACATAGCAGGATAACGGGGAGTGAGAGGATAGTTGCTGAAGGAAAGAGAGGAGAGGGGCTTCTGCTGGAGACGAGTGAGTCTGAGGTCAGAGTGGGCAGCTGGGCCTGGTGTGGAGCCTAAAGGATCAGGATTCTTGGGACCCTGAGAGAGGTGGCAGTGTTGCTTCAAGGAATCCACTGTTGCAGGGTGGGGGTCGGGGCGGGGGGTGTTCTATGTGGCCTGCCTCTCAGGAACTCTCAGGCTCTGTGTGTGGTCCTGGGAAATGCGGGGCCACAGCAGGAAGGGCCTTTCTGTGGGGAAGGGCAGCTAGTAAAAAGAAGGGGGCGCCCAGCCTTTCTGGCTGGTGGACCCCGGGGTGTGGCTGGCAAAGGCTGGAGAGAGGAGGGGGCGGTGCCCAGCCCAGAGCTGGCGGGGGGCGGGGGTAGGACTTACCAGGGATTGATGGGGTTAGTTACTCGGGAGCGCCAGAAAAGCGTCTTCAGGTCCTGACGCAGACATTCCCACAGCATCTGGCCAGAGCCTTGACCCTGGCGGCTGGAGCTCACCACAAACTTGTCCAGATACGGGGTGCCCCCCAGTACAGGCTCTGTGGTCAGAATGGCGGCAGCGTTGTACCTGGGGCAGCAGGGGAGAGTCAGGCTGGGACTTCTCCTTGGTCCAAGGGCCCCGCTCTGACCTTTGGTCCCTGCTCTCTGGGGCCCGCAGGCTCACCCTTCAGAGAAGTAGATAGAGTGTAGCCGCAGGCGCAACGAGGCCAAGTAGTCATCTCGGAGCTTCTTGCCGAAGCTGGTGTTGACCAGGTGCACCAGGCGGTCCTGGTCCAGGTTGTCCAGGCTGCACACCCGCAGCATCCGCTCAGCGTTCTTGAACAGGGTCCCGGACCCTGGGCGTGGGATGGAAGAGGAGGGGTTAGTTCGAGAGCGAGGTCCCATCCTCTCTCTCCTTTGCTTGGGTGGCCTGGTGGGGGTTCAAGACAGAATAGGACAAGGGGCTGGTGGAACAGTCACCCTCATTGGGAGAGCTCCCCAGCGAAATGCTCTCTGTGGTCTGCGTAGATTTTGAATGCGATTTTCACTCAGGGAGATGCATGTCCCAGGTAGTTTGTCCCTGAAGTTCAGTCCACTGCCTGTAGTCCCACCTACTTCCCCTAGTCCCACCCCCCAACTCCACATCTAGTCTGGTCCATTCCACTTGGTTCCGGCCCCCCAAGCTCCGCCCTCTGGGTCCCCCAAGTCACGCCCATCTGTCTAGTTCCATCCAAGTTGCAAACCAGACTCATGCACCTTGCTCACCTCCGCCAGGTTCTGCAAGAGCTGGAAGCTTTTGAGGCGGAGTCCCCTCTGGTCCCCTTACTGGCGTGGAGGCCGCCACCGCCGCTGCTGCTTCCCCCTTCCCAGTTGGCTGGTGCTCACTCCGCAACCCAGGACCCCCCCACCCTGCCCCCCGCACTGTCCTTACCTTTGTTGCTGAAGAGCTCCGTGAGCAGCATGCTGGCGGCGGTGATGGCAGCCGAGGAGTGGTGGGGCAGTCGGCTGAGCACGTCCACGATGAGCCTAATCTGCTGCCGCTCCTTGGTGCTCACCCACTCGGCACTGGTCACCAGGTCCAGATCAGCGGGCAGGTTCACGTTACTTATGACCTGCATCCGGGGCTAGGGAGTGAGCCTCCAGCCCGCAGCCGGCCATGGACCACGCTACCTGAGGGACCCCTCCTTGCCCGACCCTTATAACCCTCACCTCCTCCCAGAGTCCTTGGCCAGGGAGGTCTCAGATCTGGGCACTGCAGGCCGAACCCCTCTCTGACACTCCCTTTTGGACCCACTTGGCTCGAGAGGGCCTCAGCTAGGCCAGGAGTTGCAGGGCGTGAGGCCTGAAAGGAGGGGACACACCTTGTGACTGCTGTCGCGCAGGCCGCCCGTGTTATTGAGGACGATGATCTTGGTGGGCTGCAGCTCCTTGGCCAGGGCTGCCGTCACCTCCAGTGAGTCGAGGAGCACTGAGCGGCGCGCGGTCGTTTCCCCAATGGGGCAAAGGATGGGGATGCTGCCCGACTCCAGGCACCACTGTAGCAGGTCCGTCTCCACCCAGACGATGTCCCCGTAGCTGTGGGCCACACGCAGTGTTCAAGGGGGCCGCCTCCAGGCACGCCAGCCAGGGCAGGATGGGCGGGGTCGTGCCATCTGAGTACTCCGCAGCGGGCAGGGCGGGCACTAACCTGGTGTGGGGCGCTGGCTCAGAGGCACCTAGCACCGACCCGCCACCAAAAAAAGGCACAGCTGTGGCGGCATTGTGCCGCAGCTCATCCACCAGCACCTTGCAATTCTGGGCAAGCTGTGCCTTGGCCTCCCAGAAGGAAATACAGCCCGAGGGCGCTGTGGGAGAGGGCAGCCCCAGGACCACCAAGGGCTTCATGTCCATGCGCTGCAGGAAGGCCAGTGCGAAGGCCAGGCTGGAGACGCCCTGCCGGCACTTGAGCACCTCCTCCTCCACCTGCGGAGGACGGGGGCGTTCAGATGGTGGCCCGGGTCCGGCCTCCTGCAGCACCCTCAAGGTCCTCTAGGTGCCCCCATGCTGCCTAGCAGCTGTCGGGCCCCATTTTTGGCTACTGGCGCCCACCTGCGTCGCCCTTTGCCCCGTTGGGTCTTGCCATCCCCTTATCTCACACTGGTGTTCCTCCCCTCCGCTCCTCCCTGCGACCTTGGACTCTAGGACACCTTGGGGGGAGGGGTGACGCAAGTGGCTCCTGTCCAGGTCCTCACTTGCCATCCTTACTGTGCCCATGGTGGAGGCCTCCAGCGCATCACGCTTGGTTAATATGCCAGGCTCTGCACTCAGGCCAGGTGCTAGACTTTCGGAAGAGCTCAAAGCCTCGCCCAGCCCTGGGCACTCGTCGGTGTCTGGGATCCTCAGGCCCCTTACTGGTTCCGCTGTGCAGCATCTGCTGTCGGCCCAGCCTGCCTGGCGACAAGTCGCCACACAACCCCCATACCCTCGCTGTGACACAGCAGACGCTGGGCTCCTCTCACCTCGATAACAGCAAAGGGCTTGTCCGCAGAGTGGTGGGAGGTCTGGAACTGCGTGAGCCAGTGGCGCGCCTCCCCAGGGCTGGCCCCGCACTGGTTCAGGAAGGCTTGGATGTCCCTCTGCACCAACGAGCGGCCGCCTGGGGGCCCGGGAGGTTCGGGAGGCACCGGGGCCGCGGGGGGTGTCATCCATGATGGCTTGTCGTCTGCAGGTGAGTGGGCATCGTCCTCGGCACCCACGGCCTCCTCCAGCGCTGGCTGGGCAGGTGCCCAGGCGGTGCTGAGCCGGCGCCCCGGGCTGGCGCCCCTCGCCGCCCGCCACCGCCCGCTGCAGCTCAGCCTTCTCCGGGCGCCCCCGGTGCCTCCAGGACTGCATAGCCTCCCGGCCGCAGTAGAGGCCCGAAGGGCCCAGGCCAACTGCATCATCGCCATGACAACCAAACCAGCTCTCCCCCCCACGAGGGACTGTCTGTCCAGAGTTCTGGGCTCTGGGGGACTCTTAACCTGCCGGGGGGCGGGGCTGGCTGGTGGCAGGGGGCTCGGCGTTGGCCCTGGGTGTGTTTGAAGAGGTTCAGACCACGGTTCAGGAGGCGGGGCCCACCACATCCCCCGCCCCGTGGGGGAGGATGGAACCCATTAGCGAGGGTCACATGGCCGAGATAAAGGATGGCGGCTTCTTTAATCTGCTGCCAAGGCTGGTTGCAGGAAGGGATCCGTGGACCCAGGGGTGACTTTGGATAATTAAAGGGGAGTCTGACTACAGCAAGAGGAGAGAGCAGGTGGCATTTACCTCCCCCTCTCGGCCCCACCCCGTCCCGGACTGAGGGCCTGAGGGAAGGCACTGGATAGGAGAGGTGGGGGAAGAGGGAAAGGAGGGTGGGAGGGTGCAGCCCTGCTGGGGGGTGGGGCGCCTTTGTCCTGTTGTCCTGGCTCAACCAAGACTGGGACCATGAAGTTACTGGGGTTGCCACACTCCAGCCATTGAGTACCACCTCGAAGAATTTTGTCATATCCTTAAATTACCCCTTATTAGCATTAAAGGTTTTTTTTAAACTTTTCCTTTACCTATAGCAGAACTGCACCCAGAAGGACAGGATCATGCACCCTAAACTGAGCAAAGCCTTAAGAATAAAGCACAAAGCAATGTTATTAAATTCTGGCTGGACAGTGTTACCTGTTCTCTTGATGACACGGGATGAGTGGTGTTGTTATCCCCATTTTTACAGATGAGGAGCCCGAGGCACAGAAGTATGTCAGGGCCCGGGTCACTCTGCTCATAAGCAGCGGGGTCGGTCTTCGAAGCCAGGCAGGTATGCTGCAGACCCACGCTCTGATGCAAGAATTAAAACGAGTTTGCAAACTTTCACAGGGTGTGACTCATTGTTACTTGTTGTTGTATCCTGGTGTTGCCTCAAAGTACCTAGTGTACCATCAGTTGTACGTACCCTACACTGGGCACATGCTGATCGATGGAGTTCCACTGTCTTGTACAGGAAGACACAAGAACTGTAGAGGGGTGGTGTCACGGCCAGACCCTGGGCACCCTATGTCCCCACCCCCTGTTCGTTTGTTCCTGACTCACAGATCTGAGCCTCCCCCCTGCCCCTGCTGACCCCGTGCTAGGAGACAGGACTCCAGGGGCTCTGCCTAAATGGGGATCAATGGCCTGGGCTTTTTCTCTCCCGCGTGTCCCAGAGGATGCTGGGTGAGCACACCGACCCCTTCTGGGGATCCCCCACCAGCACGCACACATACACACAGGCACACACAGGAGACTTTTGACAGGGTGGCGGGGGCTGACCTTTGTGACCTCCTCCATTAACTTTTTTCTTTTCCTACCTAGAAAGCCTGGGTCCCAACGGAGTGAAGCAGTGGAGTAGAGGGTCTGTACCTCCTACCCTGTGGGGCCACCACCAGGACCTTCTTTTATTTCCCCACTTTAGTGCTGCTCTTTCCACCCCCAACACACACACACACCCCACCCCTACCCCCCCAGAATCCACCAGAGGCGGTGGTTCTAGGCCCTGGGGCACAGTCCTTTTCCTCTCGTTTTCAGAGCCCCTAACCTCCGATGTGCCCACCCACACCATCTGTGGGAGGCCCTCCCCAGAGCACCCATCTTCCCTGCCCGCTGCACTCGGGACCACCTCCCCCTTGTGCTTCTCGAGGTCTCCGCCCCTGCGCTGGCCTTTCTCTACTCCTTCCCAGCCAAATGTGCACGCCTTCCAAGTCCTTCCCTCCAGCTGCGGCTGAGCCCTGCTCAGGGGCCCCTGTGAGGGCAAGGATGGTCTCTCCCTTCAAACTGGGGCTCTTTGAGGCCCGGGCTGATGTGTCTCTCCTCAAATTGGGGGCTTCCTCAGGGCCCACTCGTTTCAGCATCAGCCCCTTTCCCCTGCACATGGGGCAGGCACTGGCTGGGGAGCTGCTTCCCAGTCTGGGCTCTGGCCCAGAGGGCCGTGGCCCTAGGCAGCCAATGGGGCACAGGGATAGCCCATGTAGATGATTAACTCCAGGCCCAGCAAGTGACCCTCGGTCACTGTGTCACCACCGCCTCTCTGCGGAGAAGTCCAGCACCTGGCTGGTGAACGGCCCTGCTTTCTGGAGGAGATGGGTGTAGGAGGTCAGCTGCCCTCCCTGACTACGCCCCTCAGAACTGAGGGCCCGCAGGATCATTGTTGGTCTGTGGTTCTATTCCAATGTCCTGTTTTCCTCTCTGAAGCTGGCTGTTTAGTTTTGTTTTTTAGGACAAAGCCTATTGTCAGTTTGCTCAAAGTCAGGTTGCTGGCTGCTCACCAGGCCACCAGGCCACCAGCCCAGAGTGTTGGGGATGCTGGGAGCAGACACAGCCTTCCGACCCCTGTGGGCACCTGCCCTCAGTGGGGACCTCAGCCCTGCCACGGGAGCTGATCACGTGGGCCAAGCTTCCTCTTCTATCAGAGCCCTCCTCAGCTGCCACTCAGTATAGGCTGGCGTGGAAGTGACAGGAATCTGCACAGGTGAGGCGCCGGGGTTGGAAACTGAGAGCCCCAGTCACAGTGCCTGAGAGGAGACACATCCACAGATACACAGAGCACACGAACGTAGGGACCCACACCGCCTGCTGAGACGCACCCCAATACACAGGTGTGCATGCACAGAGGTGTACAGAGGCACATAGAGTGCACACAGATGTGACCATCTGTCATCACAGAGACACCCATGCGCACGGAGAGATGCGTGTATTGACACACAGCTGCATAGAAGCAGTTTCTCTCAGACTCGTTTGCGTATAGAATTGTGTACGTTCACAGAGGCTCTCTCAGCCACTGTGTCACACATAGGAACACATGCACACGCATGAAAGAGAGAACACACAAATGTACCCCTATATACCCAGCTGTGGTCATCGACGACTGCAGGGACACTTAGATCTGGAGACATGAAGGTACACTTGTGTAAATGCACACGTGCACCATTAGCAGATACGCCCCCTGAGACCATACCCACCTATCCTCGCACAGAGGCACTCGGCTACACTCAATCACGCGCCAGACACCACTCTGGTGTATGAGCAGCGTTCAGTGAGTATTTATAGAACGAATGAATGAACAAGGAGAGGGCAGAGGCAGAAGTGGAGGCTGTGCAAAGTGAATTATGGCTCTGGTTCGCAGAGTCTGTGGACACGTGCTGGTGGGCTGGGCCCAGCACTGCCAGGCAGCCCTCTCCGCCCGTGAGGAGGCAGAGGCCAGTGGGTGCTCTCTCAAGTTGCACCTGGTGGCTGTGACAAGGGAGTGTAAGAAAGGCCTTTTCAGTCAGGCACTTCTTTTTTTAATCCTCAGCCAAGGACATTTTCATTTGCTTTTTTTTTTTTTTTTTAAGAGAGAGAAGAGAGAGGAAGGGAGAGAGAGAAACAGTGGAGCGAGAGAAGCATCGATTGGTTGCCTTTGTATGCACCCAGTCTGGGGATCATAAGCATCCAGACCAGGAGTCGTACACACCCACCCCTGGACTGGGGATGAACCTGAACCTAGATTTGTGCCCTGACTGGGAATCGAACCTGCAACCCTTCAGTTATGGGATGGAACTCCAACCACGGAGCCATGCTGGCGAGGGCCAACCACATTTTTTTTTGAGCGCAGGCTGCATACCAGGTGCTGGACTAGGTGCTCTGAGGATGCAGTCCCACTTTTCCTGGCTGGAGGACAGGACGCCTTTTCTCCGCCACTTCCTAGGCTGCAAAGGTTTGGGCAAGGTGTTTAGCTTCTCCAAGCATTTAACTTTTCAGTTTTCTTACCTGTAAAATAGGCGAAAGAGAATAAAAGTTAACCTCATCGCACTGTGGTGAAAACGAGAAGTTCTCCGTGGGCACGCAGTCACCAAGTCGAGACTGTGGAGAACTTTATAAGACACACAACTTGGTCTCTTCAACAAATAAACTGCAAGAAAAAGAGTAGGAGTAGATAGGATGAAGGTATAGAGTAAAAGATGTGTTTTTACAGTCTCTTTTAATCCTATTTTGATTCTGATTCAACAAAACCATAAAACATTAGGGGCATTTGAGCACAGAGGGTATTTGATACATTATTTTAGGTGTGATAATGATTGTGTGTTACATTTTAAAAAATACTCCGTATCTTTTAGTCCACCGACTGAAAATTTACAGATGACATGGTATGATGAATTTGCTTCAAAATAACCCTGGAGGGGAGAAAGCGGCTTGGGACGGAGGCAGCCAGACTGACCATGACTTAGGAGCTGGTATTTGTCGAAGGTGGACCATGGATTCTGGGGAGTCATTATACTACTTCACTTTTATGTATGCTTGGACATCTTCCAAATGAAAACAATCCAAAGAATTTCCTATGTGCAAGTCTCCAGTCTAACATAATGTAAATACCCAATAAAAGTTAGTTTGCTTCTTCCAGGCATAGTTTTCCTGCAAGGCATAAATCTGTGGGGTGTTACTAGATGCTGCACAAATGCAGAGCTCTGCACAAGGTCCGGGAGGCAGCCCCCTGTGACCACTGATTTTAAGACTGTCAGTTCCAAGTGTGCTATGAGTTTCTTGTCCAGCAGAGGGCTCCCTCCTCCCTGCTGCTCTCTGGCTACTGCCCTGGGGTCCGCGGCGGGCGGGGGTGGGTGGCCGCGGGCGGGGTTGTTAAAAGGAAGAGATTATCAGGAGCGTAACAGAGATACTGCTGACCGGTTGGCGTCTGAAGAGAGTCCTCTCAGAGATGATTAGGAGAAAAGAGACAGGTAGGTAGGTAGGTAGGTAGGTAGGTAGATAAAAGAATGTGTCAAGGCTACAATCTCTGGAGATTGGGGGTACTTGGCAAAGGCTACTATCTTGAGGATAGTAATAGCAACCTCTCCCTCAGGGGCTGTCTCAAGCATGTGGCATGTATCAGCTTGTTTACTTCTCACAGCAATGCCCTGAAGAAGCTGTTACCATTATTATGGAAATCCCAGGAGGCTGGTTGTAGACGAGTGGAGATAAGGTGCTTTCAGGGCGCAGCGGGGGCTTCCTCACAGCCGGGAGCGTGCACAGGAGCTGCCCGGGAACCCGCAGTGCATGTCGGAGGAATCGGAGGAGGAAGCCCACTAGGAAGCACCCAGAACCCACAGGTGGGGAGATTCCAGGAAGGAAGGGGCAGCCCACAGTGCAGACACTCCAAAGCCCGAGTAAAGGCCCTTGGCTTCACTCACTACAGACTCTTCTGAGCCAGTGGGGTGGTGGGGAGCTGGGGTGGCGAAGCCAGGTGGCAGAGGGGTGGGGCAGGGCCCTGGATGAGACCCCAGCGTGGAGCTCCTGGGAAACGGTGGTCAGAGAGAGACGCGGAGCCTGGTTACTCAGCGTGCGGGGCCATGGCACCCCCTGGGACCGACTGGAAATGCGGAGCCTGGGGCCCAGCCTTGGCCTACTGAACAGGAACTTGCATTTTCGTTGGATCCCAGGGAATTCTCTGTGTATTCAAGTTCAAAAAATAGTGGAGCAGAGATGTGCGCTGGTCCCCAGAAAGTGGTGTTCGATATGAGGATGTCCCTGGTGAATCTGAGGCCAAGGAGGAGCTGGGCTGACGCGTGGTGCGGGTGCCTTTCAGGGCTGCGCGGGGCCGGGGCGCCGTGCGGGCCCTGCGGTGAAGGCGGTGCCCGGTGGTATGGCCAACCCCGCCCCACGGCAGGAAGCTCCCCGCTGAGTGCTGTCCGTCTGTGTGCTCCGCGGAGGAGAGGGGAGCGTGCGGAGGTATTGCGTGTCTGCGTGTGTATGAGCGTGACGCGTGAGGCAGAGTTTATGGGTATCTTATGTATGTTTTGTGTGCTTTCACATATTAACAGTCAACTAATGGAAATTTCATATGGTTAATCCTATTATGTGCGTGTCCCAAGGGGAGGCCATGTGTAGGTAGGGGGCCTAGGGGTATCAGGGCTCAGGGAACTGTCATAGTTTGATGAATAGTCAGCCTCTTGAACTTAGCGAACTCAGGGCACAGGTCCAGATCCCAAATTACCGGTTCTGTCCTCTGTGCGTGGAGGACGAAGACTTGGGCGCCGGCAGGTTGTAGTTCCACGCTATTGCCACAAGGGGGCAATGCCGGCCAGGCCACGCGGTGCCAGGTCCGGGTGAATCCCTGCAGGCAGAGTTGGGTCTGCGGGCCGTGCCAAGACTCATCCGAGGGACGAGTGGAATCGCGCTCTGGGTGACGGGTGTGGGGGTCCATTCCTGGTCCCCTTGTGACCCAGCTTACCGCTTCTTCCCGCGGGTTCTGGCCACCTCCACCCCCGCCCCTTACGCACACTCCAATCAAGGCCCTCGTGGAGCCACCCCATCTCCGTGCGCCTCTCTTGGATCCGGATAGCCCAGCCCTCCTCCGTGAAAGTCCAGCTCGAGGGCAGGGGCAGAGTGAGGATGCGGCCTAAGGAGGGAGTCCAGGGCAAAGGCCTTAGGAGGAGTGGGAGGTTTCATTTGGGATAAAGGTGGGACGGGGGCCTCAAGCATCCTCAGTCGGGACACTTAATGGAGCACTGGCCATGGTACAGGCAGCACAGTACAGACAGGGTGTGGGGCGCGTGGACCCCTGGATAGGGCATGGCCCTTACCATGATCTGGGGTCAGGATACGAGGGTTCAAGTCCAAGCCTCATAGACTGGCCTCAGGCCGGCTTTGAGAAGGACTTGCACTTCCACAGTAGATCCTCCGCGTGCATCTTCTTGGTGGGGAGAAAGGTCGCTTCACCAGCTACCTTAGTGCGGTGGGGCGGGGACAGGGCAAAGCAGAAGGGAGGTTGAGGTCACTGGTCTGGGTGCCAGTTAAGGAGACCTGGGGAGCCACGGCAGGATTTTGAGGAGAGTGGCCTGATCCCAGCTGGACTCTTAGAAAGTAGGGAATGGATCGAGGGATGGGGTGGGGGGGCGTGGATTTCAGACAGAGAGACCAGGGACAGTGGGACTGGTAAGTGCAGCCGGTGGTCACAGTTAGGATAGACTTAAAAAAAATCAATAGTGCACATTTCATTGACCTGCTTTCTCATACATGTGAGCAGTGTTATTTCTTATGTGCTATACAAATAGTTGAAGGTTAATTAGCAGTATAACTAAATAGTAATGCTGCCAGTCTCCTTCAGACAAATAATTAAAAAAAAATAAAAAAATCAAAAAATCAAAAAAATAAAAAATTAAAAAAATAAAAAAATAAAAATAAATAAAAATAAATAAAATAAAAATAAAAATAAATAAAAATAAAAAAATAAAAAAATCAATAAAACTGGGGGAGGAGGTTGAAGAGGGTAAAGGGGATCAAATACATGGCGATGGAAAGAGAATAAACTTTGAGTGGGGAGCACACAATGCAATATACGGATGATGTATTATAATAGTGTACACTTGAAACATATAATCTTACTACCCAATTTATTGAATTTAATAATTTAAAAACCCAACAAAAATAAATAAAAATTTTCCACTATAAAAGTAATTTAGGAAAATTACTGAAACTAGATAAATGAAACCTGTCTAAACTACTAATACAGCTGCTATTTGCATTTGGTCTATTTCCAAGCTCCTTTTTATACATTTAGAAAAAACACAGCTGTGTTATTGTGTACATAAAATTAATTTTCCTGATTTTCTACTTATCAGAATGTCATAAACATTTTTTTCAAGAGAACAAATCCATTTTTATTTATTTACTTTTCAATAAGTTTAACTTTTTGAGAGTTACAGCAGTACACGGGTCCCGTGTCCAATGGCCTCCCCAGCACGGTGACTTGGGAATTTAGCCTGAGCCGCGCCACTGTTTCCGTGAGCGGGAGCTGTCTACCTTCCCCCAGGGGACTCTGGTTTTGTTTCACTTGCCACCAGGAGTCACTGTGTGGCTCTTTCCTTTGTACCCAGAAGCACACCTTTTGCCTAGAGAGCATTCAGTGTCAAAGCAAACGTAAACACCTTCAGTCTTAAGAAGAGCTGTGTGCTCCCTCTGGTTCTAAGGACCTCGCAAAAATGGCCTCGGACCACAGCGTTCCAGACATATTTGTTGTTTTAGAAGACCTGTTCCAGCAGCCTCTACGGGCTCTAAGATGGAAAGAGGAAGATAAACATTGAAAAAAACCCTCACCTGAGGCTACGTTTATTGATTTTAGAGAGAGGGGAAGGGGGGAGAGAGAGAAAGGAAGAGAAGCATCAATGTGAGAGGGAAACATACATTGGTTGCCTCCTGTATGCGCCCTGACTGCAACCTAGGTACATGCCCTGACAGGGAACCACATCCACAGCCTTTTGGTCTATAGGATGATGCTCCAGCCAGCTGAGCCACCAGCCAGGGCAAGAGAAACATTTTTTATATTATTCCTGCCTACCACAAACTGGGTGGCTTAAAACTACAGAAATTGATGGTCTCACGGTTCTGGAGGCTAGAAGTCCAAGATCAAGCCGTCGTCAGGGCTGCACACCCTCTGAAGTCTATGGGAGAGAATCTTTCCTTGTCTCTTCTAGTTTTGGTGTTCGCTGGCAATCCTAGGCACTCCTTGGCCGGTAGATCTACCGCTCCAGCCTCTGATTCCATGGTCACACAGCTACCTTCTCCCTGTGGATGTCTCCTCTTCTTATAAGAGCACCAGCCATATTGGCTTAAGTGCCACCCTACTGCCGTGTGACCTTAACTAATTATATCTGCAATGACCCTGTTTCCAAATCAGGTCATATTCTGAGGTACTGGAGGCTTAGGACTTCATATCTTTTGGGGTGGATACAACACAACCCATAACACTTTCTAACTTGCCTTTAGTGACCGCCTAAGATTTCAACAAGAGTAAAATTCTATTTATTTAATCAAATTTTAAAATTATTAAACACTTGATTTGTATCCAATTTATATACGATTATAAATAATGTAATTAGCACCTTACGCATAAAATTTCCCTCATATGGTTGAACTGTTTTTGTTTTTTTTTTTTAAGAATAGATATTTAGAGGCTCTCTTCCTCGAGGATGGCCAGATGATTGTGCAGCAGCCACCCGTGCTTCCCTAATGATGGTATTTTGGATGGGAAGGAACTCTGGGTGCAGCCTAGGATCGGGCTGGCCTGGCGGAGGGGGGCAGGGTTACTACTCTTTGGGATTCTAGAGGGGACAAGCTCTGAAGCAGACGCCTGCCATTCTTCCAAGATTGTGTAACTTTTGTATCTCATGTTGTTTTCCTTTGTAAACTAATCCTATAGAAATAAAATAAAAACTAACAGGGGGACTGATAGAACTCAGGTGTTAAAGACTTTAGCCTAATTGATAGGCTTAAGTGCTTAAAGCTCTAACGAGAGAGTTAATGACTTTAGCCTTAACTGATAGGCTTAAGTGCTTAAAGCTCTAACTAAAGAGTTAAAGACTTTAGCCTTAACTGATAGGCTTAAGTGATTAAAGCTCTAACTAAAGAGTTTTCATAAACTTTTCATAAAGTTTATGAAAAGTTTTAATTATATTGTGTGTTTGGGAAGAGGTGTGGTGTGAAGAAAGGAAGCACAGACAAGCAAATTGAGAAAAGAAGAATTACCCCCAGGCCCATCAGCCAGAGTTTGCTCCTGCCAGTCTGCCATGTATTTTTCTACACTCCCTACCCACGTGTTCTCCCTCGCTGAGATCTCATTGCAGGTTACAGTTTGTGTCCTGCTTTTCCCACATACCGTTAAATCCTAAACAATTTCTCATCTCATAAACTTTACAGTCACCTTTTGGGTGACTGCATAATGTTATAGTGTAGGAACATTGCA